GACTCGGAGGGACTCGCAGTGCAGCAGCAGCTGTTCTGCAGAAGCCCTGCAGGTGTCCTCCCAGCTGCTCACAGCCAGCCAGGCCCGGACTGTGGCGCTCGTCGGCCCTCTGCACTTTCACCCCTGGAGCGGGGTCAGCGCCGGTTGAATGACGTCAATGGACAAGATGCACTTTAAACTGTTCTCATGCTAAACCCCGTGACTAATGGGGCGAGTCGAGAGACCATCACTTCCACACTTCTAGTTTCTAGAACAGCTGCTAGAGAGCGTGTGATTGTTGATTTGGAGAACTGAGAGTCGATTGCCAGCGTGTTGTTTCAGCTCGTTTTTCGTGAGTCACTAGTGTTTCCCTCCTTCGTAGGTCCTAACAGTTTCCCAGGCCCTAGGTGCTGTGCCTGCACTGCCTAATGGGAAATCCAGCACTGGTCAAAGCACATCCTCAAAGCACTTCAGACCAGAGAGCATGATAGCATTGTGTGTCCTGGGGCCCTGTCAGTTCCCAGGCAGCTGAGGTGCAGCGGGGGGGGATGAGCTAACGCAAGTACAGTCCCAAATACAGATTGCATTTCTTCACAGTGATACAGCCAGAGAGCCTCAAACCTTAGTGGAAAGGGGCAACTTTCAGGCGCCTCAAACGTCTGAGCTGCCTGGGTGGGTTGCAGGCACAGGTGGAGTAGGCCAGAGATCACTGCTTTTAGTCTGGGTCGTGTCATGAGCCAGCTGGGCCCATGTAGACAGAATGCCCGGAGGAGCCACAGACCCTTTGCAACAGCGCCCCCTGTGGCGAAGTGCCCACGGGTGTCTGTTCTCCCAGCGGACAGCCACCTCGCTTGCAGGGAGAGGCGCACCGACATTCAGATGATGTCTTCGTCTCCTCTGTGCAATGAAGATGGCACCCGCTCTGAGCGCAGCTGCTTAAGAACTGGTGATACCAAACCAGAGTCACGCATCTAACATTTTCAAAGTGCAACAACATGCGAATGAAGAAAATATGATGCACCTGCATGAGACAGCAGCCTTCTCCTTTGGCGCTGACAAACAGGCCCGTGGGGATACTGGGGATCTGCAACACAGGGGACACAAAGATCAGAGCTACACAGTGCTGCAGGCAC